AAGTCTCGGCGGACCGCGGGAAGAAAAGGAAACCATTTTAGCACCACGGGAGTTCCCTTCCTTGCTCTTAGTTGATGTCTGCCTTGGCCAAGACTTACGTACAGACAAACGAGCCCCGTCGAGAACGTTGAAGCTTAAGTGCGATGCTCCAGGAGACCACAGGGTCCAGAGTTCACCGTGTTCAAGAGTGAGCTTCCGAGTTCAAATATCGTTTTATGGAAGCCGGGGGTATATTGCCGGGTACTGGAAGGCTCCCAGCTCATAAGTTTAGTTCAGTCTAGTTCAGTTCAGTCTACCTAGTTTAGTGTCAGTCTAGTGCAATCGAACCCTTGCGATAGCGGCGGGCTATTTTTCTGCATCTCACTCTTGCAGCACACCTCCGCTTCAAGACGAACCACATTGGATCAGAGGAGTGGGCACTTTTTGACAAATCTTGACTGGGTACTCCGAAACAAACATCTTCTTGCACAGGGATCTCTTGCGGAACCCATCTGAACTCCAACTCTGTCAGACTTTTCAACCGCACTGCTTCGTTACACGTATGCAGTACGTCCAGTAGCAACTGCAGCAGCTGGACAGGTACGCAATCTTCCCCACCGCCTACATATCACAGGCCGTCGTGAGATGCAACAATGATCTGTGCCGCGGTAGAATGGGGGCATAATTGGGGCCGAGCCTGTTCAAGCAGCTGGAGAGCATGGTCTTTCCTATGATGAATCAACAGGCGGTCAAGGTGTTGAGATTTAACCGTGGGACAACGACAATGGCATGCTCCATCTTCGGGAAGACTCGCCTTCGTTGCTCGAGGTTTACAGCAGGACCCCACACGATTTGCACCAAGGGTTCTGAATAGAACAGCTGAGGGTGTCAGGAACCGCCGTTGAGATAGCACTGGGGATCAATAACGCCATTGTACTACCCACAGAATGAAACCATCACGCTTTCAGTCCAAGAAGGGAAATGTCTCAAAGCTTTGCAACCAATGGAGTCCGATCTGAACCACGCTATTTTCCCATCTGTCACGCTCATGCTGCTTGTTCTCTAGCTCGAGCGGGATCCGTCTCAAACCATGACGTGCATCTGCTTGCCTCTCACCGTCCAGGGCTGGTCAGGTTGGTGTGAATAAAGTGCCCTACCAGACCTTGCCCTTTAGTGCAGCCACCTTGCCCGAAAATAGCTTCAAGGCTCTCTCTTCTCTGTGCCAAGGTGACCAGTCACCTGCTCAAAACCGTCCGCCAACTTGACCCGGCTTTCCACAGACCACAGCAAAAGAGGCATGGAAGGGGAAAATAGCGCCCGGCACGGCTAGAACGGGCGAAGGCGGGCCCGTGGGGATAAAGATGGGTCATTGAGATACCTGAGAGCAATCATCATTGGATTGATTTCATATCATTACATTGAGGCAGTCGAGATGCGCTGGTGCCTTGAAGCCTGCCACAGGTTGGCTTGTGCTGTGTTTTACGAGTTTTGCAACACAACCTCAAGCAATTGTGGAGGTGACCTGGACACAGGCCATAGGCCCCAAATGCCTAAATGGGCTCTTGTTTCTCACCACATCCTGGAGCCTCATTAGCGCGCTCTGCAGGGGCATGGTCCGCCTAGGTACAGTAGCATGTGGTTAAAGCCGAAGCTGAAGTACATATCTGTGTGATAGCAAAAGATGAGCCAGCTGAGTCCCATATCAGTCGACGCATGGCACTTATAAGACTAATACGAGAGCGAGACACATGAAACAAGGTAGATACCACTATAAATTGATTCCCAGTACCGACAAGAAGAAGAAAAAAGAAAGCACTCAGCTCTAAAGAGCGAAAACAAGGGTCTTGATAACTTCCCCAGCACGTACCGGAACCCCATGTCTTATTATGGTGGGGATGTCAATGTCGAAGCATGAGAATGTCACCCTCCACGCTCTCGCCCTAATGTAGGACGAACCACTTCTGGTCAGGTCTGGGACATGGCCAAGATCCATCCCATTTAATTCTACCACCTTACGCACCCGAACACACTCCAAGTACTGGGGTATAGCTATGGGTACGGGGGTGTTATCCAGCAGCAGCAGACCGAGCTGCATTGCCTAGCATGCACTGCACTGGGACTGACGTCGAGCTGTCAAAACGGCACCACAAGGGCAAAAAACAAAAGAGAAAAAAAAACAATCAGACATTGCACTGCTTTGTTACAACAGACAGGATCCACGCTGCCACAGCAGCAATTCTCTCTCCTTTTCTCTTGAATCGTCTCGAATCAGATCGACTCAAATCATATCACGGCACTTGCCTGCCTGCCTGTCTCGTCCGCCCTCACACATTCCTATCGTCTGCGGCCCTTATTCGACTCATCCCTGGGCGGTCGTCTCCATTGAGCAGTGACAGCCGGTAGCACTGGCCGGTGTTTACCAGTAACTTGACAGCGGTAGTAATCACAGTAACCGCCTTCTCGCATCTGCTTGCCGGGTATAAAATCGGGAAGAGCGTGCCTTGAATCGCTATCTCTTCTTCCTTCACTCGCTAGCATCGAGGTTTGTTATAGACCATCCCAACCGCAAATACCTTTCCACAAACCTATTTTTGAATATAACACTGCCATATCGTATCGTGCCGTAACATATCGTTCCACAGCGCGCACCTCTTTTTTTTTGAATCTTCCTAAGTGGTAACGTTGACCTGGAGTCGTGGAATTGTTTTGTGCGTGCTTGACCCTGTTAACCTTGGAAGTATAGTCACACACTCCTCCGATTTTGCATAACGACATTTGGAAAACGAATACTTGGATTGATTGATGTCCTTCGATTGCCATGATGGATCCAAAGAATGATGCTCCCACGCATGGAGCCGTAGTCGATATCGGCGGTAGCAACATGTATGACGGCGTTGGCAAGCGATTGCAAGAGGCCCTCACGGCTCCATACTCTCCCACCTCCAAACCCACGCTGCCCGACGAATTACTGTACGACGATGTCGGGTTGCCGATCTGGAATCAGATAATCTTCACCCCTGAATTCTATCAGACTCATGACGAGATTGCTTTGTTTGATGAGCATGGCGCCGATGTTGCTGCGCGATGCCCAGCTGGTGTCACAATTATCGATCTAGGAGCTGGGTTAGTTCATCCTCTATTGCCCCGCACTCTGCCCACCCTCAATGAGTGGTGGCTGTAAGCTTACCCTCTCCATACTAACACGACCCCATCCAGTGACACTCGCAAGGTTGGCCACCTTCTCGCAGCCTTTGAAAAGGGCAAAGTTCCCGCCAAGTACCTCGCATTGGACATTTCCAGATCGTCGCTGAATCACAATGTAAAATACCTCGTGGAGCAGCACCCGAGACCTGAGTCATCAGTGACCTGTGCTGGTATCTGGGGTACCTTTGGCGACGGCATGAGCTATATCCAAAAGATCTCGACACCCCGTCTCTTTCTCTCGCTAGGTTCGGTGCTCTGCAACGATCCTTGGCCTGAAGCACTTGGTCACCTGAAGTTCTGGGCCGATGCCATGCGACCTGACGACCTACTTCTAATTGGAATGGACGGCCACACTCTTCCCAATAACAAGGAGAAGATCTGGAACGCCTACCACTCTTGTGACGACCTCTACCACAAGTTCTTCTTGAACGGCTTTAAGCATGCCAACCGTCTGGCAGGTGAGGAATGGTTTCGTGAGGAGGATTGGGAGCTCCTCGCGCAATTGGAGGATGAGCCCACTACTCGTCATCGGTTCTTTTTTCGGGCCAAGAAAGATGTGAAGCTTAAGAAGATGAGCCGCAACATCCAGAAAGGCGAAGAGTTCGACTGGTTCGATTCTCACAAGTACGGCGAAGATAACGTGCGCCTCATGTGCTACAAGGCAGGACTGAGCGTAATCGATGTGTGGCAGGCCCCAGGATCGGAGTTCCGTAAGTTCCCTCCTATTAATACCCTCTGGCGATTTCTTCCTCTGTTTTTTTTCTCTCTCTCTTTCCTTCCCCCCCCCCCCCCCCCTCTCTTTTTTTTTCTTCTCTTTCTTCTTTTACGTGTTTCATACTGACTTGTTTTCAGGGCAATATCTCGTTCGCCGTAAAGACAGCAAGGACCAGCGAGACGACGCCGACAGTGCCGTCTCTGGAGTCAGTTACTAATCTGGCTCCGCGGCTGGCCGCTACCATCACATCTAATTCCTAAAAGAATTTTCACCAAAAGGCGGGCAACTATTGCTGAGGATATCTGCGGACAGTACCTTTTTACGAGTAATGGAAGGTATTGTAATCCCAAAATGGATGGACAGATCAAGGTTTTGTTCGTTGCGTTTCGTCAGGTTAGACACAGGGTTTCCTCTTCTGCTTCGAGGACCTTTGCAACAAGGTGTTCCCACCAAGGGTACCTCTTACCGATATCTTTGCAGAGAGCAGTTGGATCTCGTGGGATTTGTACTTCTTTGTCAATCCACCCCCAGATGCGCAAAAGTGCGTCGTACAAGGGGGGGACGCTCTGAGGTGACAGATAATTAGCCCCTAATTCTGCAACTAGAGTGGGTGGTGTTGGGTGCAGTAGACCTGGGCAAAGGCAGAACCAGCCTGCGTCTTGCCATAGATTACTAAAAATGGGAGGTTTGCGTTTCTTTTCTTTGCACTTACACTGCGGACTGGCGTTTGAACCACTTGCTCGAACCAATCCATCGAAACATCCTTGTGTACAGTTTCAGTGGCGAGTAATCCTAGGAAAAACACTGGTAATAGGGGTGCTTGAGCTGTAAAGTGAGACCCCGATGTAGGCATAATTCGTATGCAACGGGCGAGATCGTCAAGATTGGCAAGAACTTCCGGGTGATTTCGAGGCAGCCTAATGGAAGGTTCAGTCAGCGAGCGCTCTTGCCACTATTATTGACGCAAGTTGAGGTGAGGTAGGCATGATGGTGTGGTAGGGAAAGCAGGCAGTGTGTAAGTGTTGAGCCGGCAGAGGGGGAAGGAGTGAGTTGAGCTGTTGCAAAATCAACGCCCATTATCCCAATGGATCTTCAACTTCCTTCAGCTTGTCCACTTCTCTCCCTCCTCGGACCTTTTCTTCTCCTTCATCGCATGTTCGTACCTCAGAAGACGACATTGATAATAAATAATTGCGGCGATCCTCCATGCCTCAGCTGTAACCTCGGTCATGATTTGGTTGGAATCGATTATCACTTCGTCTGCTTTGTCGCGCACCCAGTCTATCGTTGGTGGGTACTTTCGAGCCAGCTCCCAGTCTTTGCCCTCACGGCTCCATTGTCGCATTTCTGATAGTTCGCGCAAGAGGAATTTTGCCGTGATTGGAACGATGGTGGATTCAGGCTCTTGCTGCAATCGACCTGCACAATACGTTACCTGGCTCATAAGATGCAACAATTTCTTCGAAAAGCCACAACCTCCATGGATTTCAAACATATCTTTCTCTGTTCCATAGAGCAGCCAGCTGAACCTGCCTGCTTCAGCCTCGGGGTTAAAAGTTTGCGGTGAGGGAAGGGCCATCATAGGTTGAGCGAGAATCACTGCCCGGCCAACAATGATTGATTGAGAGATGCGAAGTTCGTTGTACTGGACGTTGTTGTTTTTCCAGTAGCGAGCGCCAGGGTCAGTTGCCTGCAGGAAGTATTCGCCTTGCCTGAATCCTTCCAGCCATCGCGGATTGTATGGCTTTTTGAGTCGTCGTTCCGTTAGGACAATCTAAATACTAGTCAGGTCACTTCACAATATCGAAGGCGCACGGTCAATAATCCTGTAGCGACATCATACATACATCTTGCATTGAAAGAAGCACGGCCATGGTGATGACCTCCTGCCCTTTACCATTTTCCCTGCTCTCAGGCGCATTGAGGAGTGTGCTGAAATATTGATCTGCCGTGATATATCGCTGATTGATCCGCTGGCGGATGCGCTCATCCGGAATATAATCATAGATATACACCCCGGCAAGACTCTGAATAGCGTGGAGAATACCTTCGTTCTTATGCATCGGCGCCAGATCCTTCAACCATAGGTTTGTGTTGCTGAGCACACTCCTTCCCGGACACCAGTTCTTGATATCTGCCGAGTGGTGAGCAAACGCTTGTTCAAGGCACAAAACGCCGATAAGCAAGTTTTCAAAGACTTACAGAACTCAAACAATCGTCTGTCAATATGATCCATCTTTGCTTGGAATCCGAACTGAGGAGGCAGCATTTTTGGGTCACCAGCTATCAGGATTTGTGAAGTGTCTTGAAGGGAAACCGGAGAACCTGCCATCAACACTGGCGATGAAGTATTTCCCCATCCTCCCTCTAGGTCCATGGGCGAAACAGTCCCATTTGGCGCGGAAGACACGGCAGGCCCAGGGTTAACCAGAGTTATTATGGTTGTAGGACGACCGGCACTGTGTGATCGCGTTACGTTGGGCGTTATGTCCTCAACGTCATCCTCTGACGGGAGTGGTACAGGGCCAGACGGCCGTCTCGATGGTGCTCGCGAAGGCCAGTTGAATTTAACATACCCATTCACCTGTCCATTCTCAGGGCGAGCATAGCGAGGATAGGCAGACACAATCAGCCGGTCCTCATTCGCGGTGAACGGACTTACAACGAGCCCTTCTACTGGTACCAGGCCTCTTTTCTTCGAGTCTTGCGATTCGACAGCCCGCTCTGGAAGAGCATCGTGCACCGCAGGCAAGAGGCGAGGCAGTCGCTGTGCCTGAGAGCGAGGTGGCTGAGGTTGAGGTTCAGGTTCAGGTTGAGGTGCTGTGGCTACCTGAAGATTCAACGCAGGCTGGGGTGCTGCATGGAACGTCAGCTCACGGACTTGATAGTCTACCATGGTATGATCGGGTCGACGGGTAGTTTTGATCTTCTCGGCAGGAATTGGAACAAAGTCGGGAACATGATGGATGAAAGATGGATTCTCGATCGGATTGTGCAACGGGGTGAGGGTGGGAGTAAGAGCGGGGTGGGTGGGTGCAGCATGTTCTCTCTCATCTCCTTTCTGCCCAGGTTTACACCTCTCTCATCGGAGACCCATCAGGCTTCAAGATCCTCCACAGGGATTTGACAGGGACAACGGGTCAGAGTTAAGATCTGAAGAGTTTTCGAGAAGGCAGAGTCATGAGGAAAGATGGGTGAGATGAGTTGGATACATAGAGTGAGTGACAACAGGTTCACTTCCTTACCTGTAAAAGCTGGGGCCCACGAATTGCCAAGGTCCTCGGGGAGGTCGAATAGGACCTCTGAGGGAGACGATACTCCCGTTGTCGTAGGCCATGTATTTTCGAATAAAGGGACATCAGTAATCAGGGATCCGTCGACGCTGTCGGAGGCCCTGATGCTGGATGTGGCTATGCTCAGTGGGATCGTATCGTCTTGTCGCGCGTATTTGACGCGCTTCACCGGACGGACTGATTCTGGTGAACTCTCCATTTGGACGGCTCGTGGCAGGGAACGCCGGGGACAAGCCCGATGGGCCGTGCTATAATTAATGGGAGAGATGAGAGAACAAAACCTTACAGTACGACAGTTTCGGAGTCGGCCGGGTCAGAACACCACGGAAGGCCAGCGGCAGCGGCAGCGGGCAGCGGTAACAAGTAGCGATACCAGACGTTTGATGATCAGAGCCGCCGGGCCCCAGGGGCGACGCACAACCGTTGCGGCGCGTCGAACTGAGAGCCTATTGATGAGATTCCAGCAGAGTGGTTCGCTTCAAGGCAAAGAACCACGCCTACCGAGAGTGGGTTTTTGGAGTGTAAACCGCCGGGATAGCGGGGGCGAAAGGAGACAACAAGAAGCGAAGAGGAAACAGTTCAACCGAGGGACCAGCGGAGGGGTGTTGAAGCAAAGTCAAGAAGACCGGAAGGTCATGGCGTGAGATAAGTCTGGGGAGAGTACCTGCATTAAAAGGGACGTTGACCAGGTGCTACTCTCTGCCTCTCTAGAAGCAGTTTGGACTTTTAACTAAAGAGATGTCTAGGAGCTGTTAGAAACATTAAGGTCAATGGTTGGATTGCAGGCCTCCCCACTTGGAACCTGACGAGCTTGGAGCCCTTAACACAAGGGAATGAGAGTGCTTCTCCAATAGCTAGCAGGACGCCGCCTCACGATATTAGAAGCAGTACCGGCTAGTCACGATCGGTAGGGCGGGCAACCTGAAGGCGAATCTCACTCACCGTTGCCTCACGCGCCTTACGCGCCTGTTGCCGCCGTCGAGATAGAGCCAGCGAGGATATGAAAGAATTGAGCAGGTGTGGCGGCCCATCGATGTGATGGGACCTGGCCTTCCAGGGTCATGGACCAGGGGGGTTACTTACGAGGACCAAGATGGTTTTTAGCGGCAGGGATAAAAACGCCATGGCGCACCTCACAGCTTAATCACCCGCCCTTGCTTCTTCGGGGTTAACAAGGCCAGCCGGTCTAGCAAGGGCACAACGAAGACGATCCTTGACAGGAGAGAGGAGACACAAACAACGGGGCCAGAGTCCAGTGCCAACAATATTACAAACGGTGCTCGGTACATCCTGTGATACGGACAGCGGCAGCCCCCATACGCATTAGCGTTACCTTGACTCAGTTGTCTCTTTCCCCCCAAGCTTGTTGTCTCTTGTCTCGTCACTTATTGCTCACGCGAAAAAGCTGTGCTTGTACCCGGCACCGCGTGTCTTGCCTCTCTACCGGCCTCATAAGGAGCAAGTTCCAAGAGACTGACCGAAGAGACCACAACATTCATTTTGTCAACCCGACGTTGGGTGTTGCCGTCGTCCTCTTTTGCGGACCAAAGACGTAGGACACTCACCAAGCAGATTGTCTGTGACTTTGTCTTTCGCCTCTCAGCACTGGCTTCTAGGCCTGAATACCACAAAAACCCGCGCATGTTATTCTCCGACGGTTACGCTACATGCTGCCCTCCTCTGACCGACGCATGCGTATCTTTTTCTTTTCTTCTGCCTTAGAAGCGCGAACGCGAACCCCAGGTAGACGGATAGACAGTTCCTGACAGCCATTTCCCCCTCTCCCTCGCTCCCTCGGTCGCCCCAAAATTTTGCCTTCCCGCCGCCGCCGCGCCGCGCCGGTCCGGAGCCCTTCGTTAGCTTCCGTGCCACAACAATTTGCAACACGCTACTGCTAGGTCCCGCGTGGTTGGTCGAAGCTCTAAACATAGCACAGAGTACATTCCCACGTACAGTACTATAGGTGTATACTCATATATCAGCGCCTATTGTCAGCGATCTCAATAGTACAGAAAAAGGTACAGATACTACTGTACCATCATGTCAATTCCATCATCTGCACTCGTCTTTGAATCAGGGATCAATACAGTCCCCAGCAACACGATGGAGCCCAATTCTTTGGATGCCCTTGTCCGGGTCCAGTTAGAGACTGTTTCCAGGGAGTTGGCAGCAAAGGCAAAGTTTACTACAAATGTTTCATCGCCCGAACAACGTCAAAATATCATCAACGATGTGGGAGAATATCTTGCTCAGACCGCCCAGATGTGGCTTTCTTTGACAGATAAATTGGTGACAGGACCTCATGTAGCATCAGCTGCAGAGGAGGCGCACGAGCTGTCCTACAATAAGACGCACATGGCGGACTTGCAACCCATGGCTACAATGGACATGAACATCAGCAAGCTTGGGTAAGTCTCTAAACCAATCGTGTTATACCATGGCTCACCCATTCTGGCAGTAAGATCCGTGATCTGGCAGCAAAGTTCTCTGAAGACGTTCAAGAAGTCTGGCGACGGACACCTGAACCTGGAGGAGTTTTGTCAGCACCAACCTACCATACCGTCTCTTCCTTCCCTACCATTAAATCTGAACCCTCAGGCTGGAACCGGTCATTCTCCGGAGGCAATAATATGGATGGCGGAACTCGCGAAAGCCAGAGAGCTATACTAGCTTCTCGAAGCACTGATGACGCTCCATCACCTGGTGGGAACCTATCCATTTCAGAAGACTCAGGAGATGACGAAGATGAACAATTCAGCAAAATCGACATGGATGCTCTTAAACAGAGGGGCAAAGGCTCGTACTACTGTCCTTTGGGACATCGCTGCGACAAGGGCGGCGTTGATAAGGAGGGAAGACTTGTGGTCTTCGACCGAAATTCTTCTTTTGCGTATGCTTATGCTTGTGACCCCGAGTTGCTGGTTTAAACTGACCCCTGTCATAGACAACACTGTAACAAGCATCGGAAACCTTGGCGGTGCGATGTTCCTGGGTGCCCGAATCCACCCAAGAAACGCAAGTTTGCCCGTCGGGACGGACTTGAAAGACATAAATTGACGGTCAAGCATCGCGTTATGACATCCTGAGGCCCTAGTCACGAGTTCCATCTTGTGCTTTGATGGGCTGCGTGACCTTGACCGGTCAATTCCCTTACATTCAGAGACTTGTCTTTGATTGGGGGAGGTATGGCCGGTGAAAATAAACCATGCGGCTCATGCAAACCCGAGAAGCATGAACCAATAGTGATTCGCCAAGGGTTTCTCTGCCACTCAGTGGTCCGTCCGCCAGCAGCTGAACGTTGCACGAAATCATGGAAATTGATTCGGATCTACATGGCCTCAGTTGCGTGCGAGTTACAATACGAGCCTAGCATGCCTAATGGCGCATCCCTCGCATGAACACAGGAAAGATAGTCGGAATTCTTTTTATCACGGCATAATTGCTGGTCAATAAGCGACCGCCCAACCTTTTGTGGAGTTGAACTAGTCTTGTATCTGAAGGGAATGATGCAACCACCTACCTGTAAGCTGGCACATCACCGGTCAGAGTCACCCAAACAAACAATCGTTACATATGCAGTTAGCCTTCGGGCAAGATGCATGAAAGCTTTTCACAGTAATTTTAGGACATCCTTCTCAAAAGAGAAGCAGCCGGCTCACAGGTACCACAGTTAGCAGTTGAGATGGACGTGGTAGGCCTCAACGACTAAGGGTGGGAAAACCCACCGACGCGGCATCTCAGTTACAGATCTACCCGTTCCTACAGGGCCAAAGCGGATGGCAGCATGGGAAATTTCAGAAATGCATTGCCACTTTGATTATACGGGTGTGCTGGCTGTCTATAAGTCGTACGACAGGAACACGCACCCAGAACGTTCGAGAAAAATAGGTGCAGCCACGTATGAGAATGAAGCAGGCCAAGGTCTCACAAGAGCACTGGTATAAGCTGTCGGCTCCCGCGCAAGAGGCACTTGATCAGGCAAAGAGGTTTACTAGAGTACGTACAAATATAGTACTAGGCTGGGCTACCGACTGCGAGAAGCGGGTGGCTTTCCCAAACTCGTGGGAAGCTGGCCACGGATGACTTGCAGACATACGATCTCATACTGCAGCAATGTGACACTTCATTTTCAGGGTGCTTTCAGAGCTTCTAGGGACTGGTGAAATTCTATCATTCTTCTCCGGGGCGGCCCTAGACGATGATCCCGGCACTAGGGCCATTTGTTGGGCATGCACCCTTGCGATCAACACGCGGACCAACCAGTTGGAAACAGCAATTGTGAGAAATCGTATATTGGTATGTACGGTGACGAGAGTCTTGAACCAACTCTCATGTCGCAGCAGCACTGTGGTTCGAGACCGTGGACAGGCAGATAGTAGCATCTCAAGCACTACATACATAATGGCATCATAAATTTTAGACTCGGCAGAACGATCCGATCTCACTGACCAATCTACCTTTCCCCCACAAACATTTCCCATTGACTTCTCGACTCCAGGCAAAGGGAAACAGACTTGGTGCAACCCTTAGTGGCGCACGTGGCTTCTTAACGGTGCGGGACTAGGGCGCTAGCAGCTGGGAACTTGCATGGGTTGTGTAAGGGGAGTTTCCATACCAGACCAGGATTTATGGTCCAGGAGACGAACGAGATGGGACGAGGAGGGACGGAACAAAAATAGGAGGAGGGGAGAGAAAAGGAAAGAGAAGAGACGAGAGGAAACAAAAGAAAGTCAGATGAGCGGTGTGTTCCGGAGACGACGGGAATATGCTCCTGTCATAGCGCCGCCAACCTCAGCTCTTCAACTTTGTCCATCCTTGGTCAACCATGCACCACGCAACAAGGACTATGCAGTGTCGTGCCGTTTCTTACGCTGGTCTGGTCTGGCCTGGTCAAATTGAGCTGAGTCGTAGACCGCGCCGTGCTGAAGTGTCAGATCTGGGATTAGGCGTTACCCAATGCTTGGGCGAAATGGATATGTATGGTACATCACATCGTGCCATGCCAGTAGAGCAGATCTCGTGGGGATCCCTACAAGGCAACTGGCCTAATGCATGGCGTTGATGGGTTCCAGAGCACTGTGCTGTACAGCATCGATGGCTTGCGGACGAGTTGCATAACTGCATCTAGCCTAAGGTTAAGCGGAGCAAACGACGACTACGGTAACTCAGGTCTCAGTCGGTCATGTCTTGGGTTTATTA